AAAAATCCAATTCTGATTGGTTCTCGCTCATGGAGGCCGAAACTAGTGCACCAAGATGGCGGTACCTCGAATGTGAACAAGAATAATGAAAATATTACCGAATTGTGGTTTATTAAGAGTAAATTGTTATTTCCATAGGTCCAAAATGAAAATAGATTAAGAAATTATTCACAAACCAATCTCATTTTCTTTTTAATTGATCACTTTGTTGATGTTGTTGTTTTTGTGTGACAGACATCGCAGGATTCCTGATCCTTATCCCTCAATATCGTTCGTTTGGGTGCACTCGTTTCGGCTTCCATGGCCAGCCAAGGAAGGCTGCCAGTCAGCTGATAATCGAGTTGTCGTAACTCTGGGTATAAAGGGTCTCTAGTGATTACATCGAGTTACAGAAGTAAAAGTGCGGATTTCGACCGCAATATACCAGGTATACGCCGCAGAGTTGCTGGTCAGAGTGATAAAATGCGTATACCTTATATATATTGGGTTAGGTACCTACAGGGCGACAGGCCGTCCGTTCAGGGCTCCGAGGCCGATACTCCCGGGTGCTGAAGCCGTAGCTTCGATTGCTCCCGGTGCTGAGCCCGGAAGTTTCGGCCTCTGAGCCCGGTACGCGGACGGTATGTCTATATATAACGCGTAAGTGCGGCTTCCATGGCCAGAGTTTTTATTTTGCCAGTGCCTACTGTTGCTACTTGCTAGATGGTATAATACAATTGAATCAGTGAGAGTGAAAAAACGTCAACTCGGAAATGAGAAAATGTTCAATAGACACAAAACACTGCAAAGTAAGTGTAGAAGTTGGACTGGGGAAAAGTTTTTTGGTGCCGAAGGACAAGAACCACTTAACCCATGTATGCCCAAAACCATTTTTTTTCAAACTGATTTTTTATTTCCTTGTTGTTTTTGACGTTATGTAGACAGGGTAAACACGTGTTGAGGCACAACAAAAATAAAGTAGGCTTGCCTATAGGTATCCCAGACATGGATTATCCTGTGTTGAACACATGAAATTCCCTAATTTACACTAACACTAAAAGTCAAAAACTGCGATGGGTCGTTAACGACCCAATGGGCACATATGGGTTTTAAAATAAATTAGTCTGAGGGGAACGCCTTCCGACCTAAGGTCCCTTGCTCCACTATGACAATAAAGATCTCTATTTAAACCCCATCTCCTTGTCAAGGCTTTACTCGCGAAGGGACCCGAGCTGAAACTGATCAAATTTCATAAAATAATTACTCAGGGAGCAAGGGTGTTGGATGATCTCCCCCGATAGTTATCGGCTGTCATGCCGCCGTCCTGAGGAGGAACACCGTGCAAACATTCAGACCTGCTCAAAAATTTCTTCAAGTGGCGTGAGAATTTTCTTGAAAGCTTGTTAATGTCTTTCTTTGAAAATACCTAGCAAAAAATTTTACTCGCAATTTCATCTAATATCTTTGTAAATTTGAAGGAAAAATATTCAACGACTTTCCTCAAAAAACAAGATTTTATTGGGGAAACTTTGGCTAAATTCGAATGGCCATACGGCGCTTTCCCCTACATCATTGATTTCGATAACGCCTTCACTTTTAACGACAAAACTTAAATGTTATCGTTAAGAAAAAGCAAAGTACCAATGAAGGATAGGCTTTCAGAGAAAACTGACTCTAACAACGACTCAATTACATATGTTTATCTTCGCTTTTCACACGCTACCTGATATTTGATTTTTCGTCCATTCTTCGAGCATTCCTTCTTTTCTTCCTCAGATTTTTCACCAGTGAAATCAAGTCGGAGAAAGGAACCGACTGCGTGAGGAGTTTTGAGAGTCAACTGATGAGAGAACCCCTTCTTTTCCGCAAAACTTTGTTCCTTTCTGTCAAGAAGGATTCTCAGCTTTGGTGCGTTGCATTCGGGGTCCAATCGGTTTACTTCAAATTTTCACCGATTGGATGGATTACCTACTTGGGAAAAATCGAAGTGTCAGTCTCTAGATCAATCATTAGGGATCTTCTAAATTCTTAAAATTAAGTCTGAAGTACCGATCCCGATTTTCAGCAATTTCAATGTACTTATCTATAACGGTGATTATTATTAGAAGTAGTACTTTTGGCTTTATCCCTTAATGATCGACGTATCATAAGGTTGAAATTTTAATTTCCCCGAAATAATCAACCCGATTAAAATTTGAAATACATCGATCGTGCGCAGGATGCATGGCGCGTTAGCTGAGGATCCACCTGAAGCTGGGCCCACGTATAAGGGACTTGGATAACGAGGCACATGGGTGCAGCTTTTGCTATTTCGAGAAATACGTGTTTGAAGTTTCAAAATTACACGGATCCTTGTGGCGGAAAGAAATTTCAAACTGACTTTTTAATGCTTCAAAAATTGGGATTTTAGAGGGAGTTTTTCACAGAATATGCATTGAGACTAGCTTTACTTGAGATCATTAAAACAGGATGTCTACTTAAAGAGGCTGGCCAAAAATCAGTACTTTTACAGCACTTTTTCCGTACATTCCGGAGAAATTCAGAGCCTCATCAACAGAAAAATTGAGTACTTTTTCAGTACCTCTAATTGACGAAATGGGAAAAATTTCAAAAATTTGAATTATTCGCTCAAATTGCGACAAAAATGACAAAAAAAATTCCGGACCTTCTTACGGAATTTCCGCACTTTTTCGGAAGTTCCGAACCGCCTTGGAAAAATCGGTACTATTTCCGGAGTTTGTAGACTCCCTGCACCTTGTTAATAAGTCAATTTTTTTAAAAACTACACTTAGGCGCCTTATCCTCCGCTCCGAGCCCTCCATATATGAGAAACCGTTATGAAACCGTGAATGGATTCTCGAGATAAGCGTCTACTGGAATTTCCAACTGCATGATGACGTCACGTCGGCGACAAGTTATTACCATGACCATGAGACACTCCAAGGGGCCAATCTCAAGCGAAACTGGAGTGAGATCGAATTATGTACGGGTGCACAATGAGGTCCCCAAGTTAATCGAATCACTTGTACAGTTATACTTCATTGTTATCGATATAGGAAGCGCCGAGGATAAGAGAACTCCGAGATGGATGATTCGACGACAACCTACCACGGTACTTAGACGTCCGCGTCCGCACTGCCGTGCTAAGGAAGAACGCCGTATGAACCTTCCGGCGTCGCCAAATTTCCTTTGATAAAACAGAGCTTTCTCCGTAAAAATATGAATGTTTTTCTTCCAATTTTTCAAATAATTTAGTTCGCAATTTCACCCAAAGTTCCCGAAAGTTTCAGGCAAAAATATTCATAATTTTCCTCAAAAATGAACGTTTTAGTGACGGAAACTTGGCAACTCTCGATTGTTCATACGGCGTTTTCCCTTAGCACGGCAGCGTACTATCGTACTCAGCAAGAACGCCGTATCAACATTCGAATGTTGCCAAATTTCTTTCGATACAATTATTATTTAGGAGAATAGGAATGAACATTTTTCCTTGAAATTTTCAGGAACTTAAGTTGGGTGCAATTGCGAACAAAATTGGAAGAATGAAATCATTAAGATTACCAGGGAATTCGTGTTTCATCAAAACAAAATTCGGAAATGCCTGAAGGTTCATACGGCGTTTTTCTTCAGCACGGCAGCATACTACCGCCCTATGGTAAAACGCTGTATGTACAACTGTTGCCAAATCTTCTATGATAAAATGAAAATTTTCTGGTGATCACCTGAACTTCCGTTTCATCTTACAGATAATTTGATTCGCCTTTTAACTCTATCTCACACATCTGAAACTTGATGGAAACAAATCACAAGCTTTTTCAGCAATAAATATTTTATTAACGCACAATTTGGTGGCATTTAAATATTCATACGGTTATTTCACTCGGCACGGTAGAATAAGAAGTGGCTCGCTATCATAGCAGCAAGCATTGAGGCAAAGGGAGGAGAGAACATGGTCTTTTCAGATGCATTTTTGCCCGGCCAAACTTCAGAATCCGACTCCTGCCGTAAAGAAGGCAGTTTGACCAACCTTCACATGACAAAATTAAACTAAATCCTATTATCCTAAACCTAAATAATCCTATGTAATCCTTATAATCCTAAACCTAACGTAACGTGACCTAACCTAACCTTACCTAACCTAACCATTTTAGTGCAATTCGTACTCAGTTGGTAGACCTGGGAAGTGTTCTCAGCTGAGAGGTTAGTTTCGCGATTGAAACTCGGGAGGAGTCGGATTCTGAAGTTCTGCCGGGGTACCAAACGAAGGTACTTACATTCAAGACGGAAATAAATTTCTTAAGGTTTTAATAGAGCTCCATATAAAACTAAAAACAGTCTTCATAGGGATCACAAGAAAAACCAAGATCTATCTAAGAGGTCAATCATTCTCATAGACAAGTTTAGAGACCCTACTACGCATCGCAGGAAGTAAAAATGCAATGCATTTCTTATAAGAGCAGCCAGTGATGGATCACACTGGCTGCGGTCAACTGAAAGTCAGGCGAGGGAGTACCTAGATTCCAAAAAGATGCGCGATCACTAACCTGTATGGATTGGTCTTGAGAATACCTAACTAAGAATTCCTTGCCTACTTGAAATGGTCCGTCATAAGTGATCCACATCTTGTGTTTCACCATTCATAAATACTTAAAGAGCATTGGCACCAAATTTCACAAAAAAGATACTGCAGCTCCAGCACTGATAGACCCTTGATCAGTTAAAGTTACTGAGGAGCTAACACATAAATAATTACTTACTTAAGGTGCATACTTTTAGAACATCAGAAGATCAATACCTCTCTTCTGCAAATTGAATATACGCAAAGATCGTGAAGATGAGACTCCCACAGCATTTTGAAGGACAATGAATTGCCTCAGCATTGGCTAAAGTAAAAGAATTTCAGGAGCGAACATCGTCAATGATCTCGAATGAGAAGAGGAGTTCAATGGTACAAAAGATTTAATGAGACACAAATGCTAGGATGAGTATTACTTGAAGGACAAAAATTCAAGAAAGCTTACCTAAAGAATTTGGCGAAGCTGGCGTAGTTGCTGATCCGTCTGTGTGGTGATGATGGTGTAAAAAATCTGTTAGAGACAGTGACGAAGCAATAATCCTGCGTTTCTCTTCAAAGTTAAGATAATCCAAGCTGTTACTTCTTTGAGGAGTCACAATGGCAACCGCCGGCGGTTTCATTGTAGGGGCTGGGCTTCCATTACCCGAATTAATGCTATTAAGATTATTTTTCTCACTATTGGGCGATAATGAATTAGGTGACTGTGGATAAAGATAAACACCACTGACGCGAACCGACATTATAACAAATTTGGAAAGTTTAAAATTCTAAGGACATTTAGCTAGGAGGTGATGTGAAATAAAAGCAGTAACATTAAAACAGATCTAATCTGTAAAAATAAGACAATTGCATTCGTTAACCAACCAATACATTACTTATATTTAATAATTTAACATGAGGGTGCTCTTGATGAAAGCGACGGGATGATTGCGCACTGAGATGCTTGGTAAAATTAATGGTTTTCTTTTTATTTTAAAAGTGATAAACACCATTATTGCCAGACAAAATGAATAGCAAATAGACAGCACTTGATGTTGCACCAGGAACAGCAGACAGAATACACAACTGGACACATTAGTGTGTACAAATTTCGAACCGTCAAAATTGTACCCGCGGTACAGCACGGAATTCACGAAATTGAACACTGCGACAAAATTAGATCAAGAATATTGTAGACAGCTCAAGCATGAAATGAAATTAATAACCAAAACACGGAACACAACTAGAGTAATCACAGCCAGCTGATTTCCAACGATTAGATCATTTCGTTCGGAGTTGTCTCCGAAGATCGGGAAGCACTGTGAGCCATGAACGGAATTTTCAAACGACAAAATGAACAAGCGCAAAATTTAGAGGAAGAAAGGCTAATTAATTACACACAACCGGGAGGAATAACAAACACACCAACCGAATAACCGAGGGACCGAGGGCGATCTTTCAAAACTAACGACAGAATTCGACCGTGGCCATGTTTGTGACGTTTGGTTGTGGTTGTACAAAACCAGTTACCCAATCAACGCTTCGAATAATTTAACACGCCTCTTTCATTGGTTGAATGTCAATGCATAAATGCCAATGCAGCAAAAAAAACCCTGCAGATTATCAAACAAGTAAAAATGTTCCGCGGTGAGTTCCAACGCTAAAATGCGATCTCAGTGAAATAAAACTGCTGAAAAAGGCTAACAGCAACAAGACTAATAGAGGAAACTCTTTCAATCCAGAATAACAACAGAGTAATTTGTACTCCTCTGTCTCATTTTTGTGAGAGTTCAACTAGCATGTTGGCAAGTGCGGAGTGACAAAAAAGCGGCAATTTCGAACGCCAAGGAGAGCAGAGAAATAATGTGTTGGTGTTATTAATCCTTTCTATAATTAATGATTTAATGGCGACTTCTCTCATCGTTAGTATCCACCCTTGACTTCTTCATGCGCTCTTTTTTACTTTGCTCTATTTTCAAGAATCTTTACTTGCAATGAAAACTTATTTAATTCTCTATCATCTTGTCCGATGATGAATGGCAACTCTTGCCCTGAAAATAATTAGGATAATTTGACATCCTACTAAGTTGAAAAAGGAGGTACCTAAAAGTAATTGCAAACAAAAGGGTGGAAAGTCCGATTTTTCAAAACAAAATTCTTCACATGGAGTAAGAAACGGAGGAATATGATAAAAGTTTCGGATTCAGTATGACAAAAAAAAGTGGAGTTGTAGAGCTGACAGAAATATCACACATCTTTCCATCAGTTTTCAACTACATTAGCACAAAACTCAATTTTTCAGAGTTTACGATAATTTAACAATGGCCGGTGTCAAATAAACCACATTTTACTAACGGCTAATCTCACATTTTTCCTCATTATATTTTGGATTGTGTGGTGAGAGTATAGTCATTTTACCTTAAAAGATGGTTGCATTGTGGACTCTGTTTCAAAAAATAGGAAGAACATTTCCATTAAAATCAAGATCTTCTCATTACTTACTTAAGTATTAATTTTCACTGAGAAAGTGTGATCAATTGGTAAGATTCCTTCAGTGCTTGAGAGCATCTTTACAAATCCCTCACTTTCTTCATTAATTATGAATGTAGTATTGGTTTCTTTCCAATTTTACATTTAACACAAGACTTTCACTTCCCGTTTCGCCTGAGTGTAGGAAAAAATTCACATAAAGTTAAAGGGCACAAAGTTCGTTTACAACACATTAATTACAGTGAAAGCACTTACTTCAAAGTGACTATGACCTGCATGTGGTCTACATAGTTGGTGCTTATTGTAACTAGGGACGGGTTGCCACTAAATCTTTCATGAATTCCTTTCTTTTTTGCAGTTAAATTCCAGTGTTTTGGAATTTCAAGTCTTATTTCAATGATGATGTTTTTCTTTGAATCTTTTGATTATGTTACTTGCAATTTGGTCAGAAACACTGTTGGAAATTTTCTTTGTATTTTACCAGCATATTAGTTCCTCTGATTCCCAGCTCTATTGATTTTTGGACAGTTTGATTATTGATTATTTGCTTCCCTTATTACTGCTCGTATGGT